CCTTAATCTAACTTAGGCCGGTTTTAATCTGACGCAAGAATTGATCTGAGGCACGACATTTATACCCGTGTTTATACACTAGTGTAGGCTTAGAAATTTTCTTTTGATTTATACTTTATTTAAACTTTTTATAAAGCTTTATATTTGATTATTGCTTCTAATTAATATAAAGTATTTTTTATTTTTAGCCCAACTTGAACTATAAAACTTTACTAATTTTTGTAAAGTTGGACTTATAAGCGCGAAATAACGCACAGGGGTATCATTTTGAATTTTGGCCAAAATTAAGCTTAATTCGGGCTATTATTCAAAATAACGCTTCTGGGCGTTATTCTCATGGTAACTTAACTGCTAGTCTAAACCCTACTATATGTAATGATTATTATAATATTTAACCAATTAGATTATAAAATCTTATATAATTAAACAAAGGCAAAACTAAAAATAAAAAACTCAAAAATTATTAAGAATAAAAAATATTTTATTATAATACAATCTTTAATTTATATACAGTATAATCTATTATTCTATTGTAATTTAAATAAAACTTTAAAATATGTATATATTGGTCTCTTGAACAACTTAATACATAAATATAAATTTATATAATAAAATTTCATATTTACTATATATATGGTATATATATAATTATATATAACATTAACGGAACAAATATAATAATTTTTAAGTGTCGCGCACTGTACTAATAATATTAAAATTTCATAATAAAAATAGGCCCAATTATCATATCTATTATTAAAATTTAATAATCAATATTGTAGACAAAAAAAACTCTTTATTTTAAACTTAAATAAAGCTACCTGTCTATTTTAGTATTTAGAATATCTATTGAACAAATAATTTGTGTATAAAAATAATAAAAGATCCAAAAGCATAGATATTAATTAATATGCAAACCTATGTATAAGATTAACAATTATTAGACATTAAAATCTATGATTTCCTCTTCATTACATAAAACTACAAACATACTACGTATTTTTTACAGCTCATAACTACAAAATACAAACTTGAGTATACATGCGTATATCATATCACCGTTAGAACAAAGTTATTAGTATAATTTATTCTGCTTTAACATGGTCCTCTGGCTTTAGGCCAAGCAAATGAAGATGTCTGAAATGTGATCCAATAGCATCCCAAAGTGTATCCTATAAAGAAGATATTATTTTATAATTTTTATCTAAATGGCAATAAAAATTTTCTTCAGTAATTATATATTACCTTATAATAATATCGAATTCCAAACTCCCGGCATGTCTCCTTAACGATAGGACCAATCCTATAATAATGATGTTGAGATATATGTGGGAAAATATGGTGAACAGCTTGATAATTCAAAGATCCAACAATCGCCGTTATGAATCCGGATTCATGCGAATAGTCTTGAGTCGTAACAACCTTGTTTAGGATGAATTAGATAATAGATAATAAATAAATAAATAATAAGTATTATTATTATTATTATTATTATGAATTGATAACAGCAAAAAAACTTACTTGCATTTCAGCCCAATCCTTTTGTATGAGGCCATCTTTATCAGGAAGAGGCCTAATTTTATTCATACAATTGATTATATTAATCATAAAAAAATTCACAATAAAAAATCAACTTAAGAAAGGTGTATTAAATTACCATTCTACTTCGTCCACAACATGATTAGCTTGGAATGTCAAAGCTAACCAGTATGATGAAACTGCATCAGCGATGGCAAATAGTGAGAAAACTTTCCATGCTGAAAAACCCATCATCAAAGGAACGAGGATGCGATATAACACGAAAAATACCTAGATCAAGGGTATTTTTTTAATATCACATTGCTTTAAGGTCAACATTTTCTAAAATTGGCATTGACCTTACCTTGCCACCCCAAAATACACAATTATGCCATGTTGTAATAGGATTTACTCGTATTTTATCGTTCGAACCAACAAAATATAAAATTGTTATGTCTTGGACACGAACTTTAATAGCTAGGAAAATGTAAAGTATCGGTACAAACAAATGTTGATTTATGTATCGTGAATACCAAGTTTGACTTGGCTTTATGCGTCTTATATCTGGATCCTCTATATATTCAAAATTACAAAGCACAATGTAAATGATACAATTTATTAATTATAGAATTTTAAAAATAAAAAAGTGGCCTACCCGTTAAAATATCAGGATCGCAGCCTAAAATAAAGGAAGGGAGATTATTATCAAAAAAAAATTAACTTTAAAAGTGCTATATTAACAATTCTACCTACCTGCGATATTTGTATAAATATGATGGCCGAAAGCATGTTGATAAAGCCATGCAAGATAACTATAACATATAAGTTAACTATTATAAATTTCATTAAAAACGTAATAAATAAAGCAATGAAAAAGCGAACTTACGATGCACCATTAAAGAAATCATGGGTAGCACCCAATATCTTCCAGACAAATGGATCATTTGTTACTATCAAAGTGTCGTTGATATAATCAGAACGAAATTATGGGTTTAAAATCTAATGATGATGAAATTCCATCCGTGCGTCAGCTTACCCGCAAAGTGTGACGCGTCATGTAGTTGATTTAACCCAAGCTATTAGAAGTATGAAAGGACATCAGCTCAACATTACACATATGAATTGTATTTACAAGCAAATAAGGCATATAAACCTGAGCACATGCGAATCCTAAAGATAACGCGAATATGATTTGTAGCCAAGTTCTTTCTACCACATATGGTAGGTAAAATTGAGCATAGTAAGAGCCAATAAGCATGCCATAAATAATAGCATATCTGATCCAAATGTTAGTACTGTTCTATAAATAATAGGCGAATGAATCAGAATATAAAAAATTTTCAAATGATATTAAGACATAGTAAATATTACCTTTGGATCAATTCCTGTCTTTCGGAAATATCCTTCAACAATCGTGATGATCTACAGGTGGTCCAATAATTTTGGTAAAGTATAATGCCTGCTGCGAAATTTTGTTGGATTAATTAAGTGCGCACCGGTATGTACCTACATACAATGGAACTATAAATAAAAGAAAGCATGTATAATCCTAATACTGATATGATTTAGCGGATGAAGTTCGCGAATAAATTTACTTAGTGATGCATCACATGAAGTGCTTAATAGTCGGTCCTTTGATCGAGTCGAAAAATTTAACTACCGCTTAATGTGCATAAAATTAATTGTTCTAGGAACGATCGTTCTCTGATTATTAATATAATAATATCAAGATTAGATGGATTGATTGTCTAAAAAGTAAAATATTAATTTTCTTTGATTGCATTTTTTCGAAACATGTAAATAAAACGTGATAGGTAGTACGTACACCAGTACAACAGCATTGACAGTAACACGTGCATTGTGTTAAGTATTGTATAATAGATCAACGATTGTTTTAGTATTTAGTATTATAAAAAAAAATTTTTTTTTGATATTTTGAAATTGATATAAAGGTCTGTCACGATAATGCCCCAACAAAATAATTACTTTTTTTTTTTTCCTTAAAGAAATTCATAAAGGTAAAATAAAATGAGTTTCCATTAATTATATAATTGCATGATATAATTATAAAGGTCTAAGCAGCTTCTGTATCGGTCTAAAAATATTCATTCGCGCAATTTTTTTATTTTTTATATTTAATCTTCGAAATCTTTTTTATAAATCTATTTTTAATTTATTCAGATGCGTTACAATACCATCGAAAATAATTCTGGAAAAAAATTTACTTGGCAAGAATTAGCCAAGCATAATAAACATGATGATGCATATGTTGCCGTCCGTGGTAAAGTATATGACATCACAAATTTTATAGAACGTCATCCAGGAGGCGATGATATTTTGTTATTGGCTGCTGGAAGGGATATTACCCAGGTAAATAGAAAAATATTCAAAGTTCTTTTATTGAGA